GAGAGAGCAAATGTGTGAAGGAGGAACTGTCAGAAAACTTAGAAAACCATCAGATCTTGTAAGAATCCACTCATCATCACAAGACCAGCATGGAGGACACTGTCCCCTACCACCAATCCAGTTACCTCCCAGCAGGTCTCTCCCTTGACATGTAGGGATTATGGGGATTACAATTCAAGATTGAGACTTGGGTGGGGGCCTGACCATATCATCAGCTCACCCCAGTTACAATGACTTTTATAAAATAAAATGAAATAAAATGCTAAAGGGAACTCTCCTGTGCTGTTGGTGGGAATGTAAGTAAGTATAGCCACTATAGAAAAATCATACGAAAGTTTCTCAAAAACTAAAAATAGAACTACCATGTATATCCAAAAGAAAGGAAATCATCATATCAAAGAGATGTCTACACCCTTTTGTTTATTGCAGCGCTATTCATAACAGCCAAAATACGTAATCAACCTAGGTGCCCATCAGTGAATGAAAGGATAATTGTGGTGTACATACATAGTAGAATATTACTTAGCTATAAAAAAGAATAAAAAGAATGAACTCATGTCATTTGCAGCAACATGGATGGAAATGGAAGCCATTCATTATGTTAAGTGAAATAAGCCAGGCACAGAAAGACAAATATTGCACATTGCTTTAATGTGGGAGCTATAAAACGAGTAGGGGGATGAAGTTGATTAATAGGTACAAAAGTAGAGTTGTAATAAGATCTAGCGTGAGATAGTTCAGTATGGTGACTATAGTTAACAATCTGTGTATTTTAAAACAGCTGGAAGAGAAGAATTTGAATGTCTATAGCATAAAGTAAAAGTACAAGTTTGAGGTGATGGATATAAGGTACCCTGATTTGGTCATTACACATACCGGATGTTCAAAACCACACATTTACCCCAAAAATGTATACAACTATTATATATCAAAAAAAAAGTGTGCCAAGGTGACACTTCTGTACCCTCTTCCTCCCGTTTCCCCCACCTGATTCATGTCTTCTTCCAGGTGTCATTTATAGCTCTGGGCAGATGAAGGAAACGGTTTAGACAGAATGTGTCTTGATTTCAACCAGTCACTTTAGATTTGTGGTCAAGATGGAGAACATAATGTGAGCAGAGTACCTAGTTAAGTAGATAGTAAGTTATTTGAAGATGGGAGGCAGTTTTGTGAAGTAGAAATGACCTTTAATGTTGAACTTAGATGTGGGATCAGCTGGTTCGGGAATTACAGGAGATGACACTTGTGGTCTTGATAATTAAGGGTAGAATTTCTTATTCCCTTCGCTGTCATCTCCTACACGTCATTTCCTCAAATAATCTAAACACTGAGTGGTCGAATGAAAGGAGAACTTCAGATCACGTGTAGTAGAGGGTGAGTGATAAATTGGAGAGGATTGGGAAAATAAATATCCAAAGGAAAACCGTTGCTCTGCCTCAAGAAATAAAATCCTATTCCCCCTAAAGCTTATATGAAAGAAATTAGATTTAAAAGTTTATTATTTACTATTTTACCATGGATGAATATATGTAAATTTGTATTTCAAAAGCTTTTCCATGAAAAAAATGTATACCCAAGCATTTCTAGAACTTTTCGTTTATAATTATGATCAACAAATGGATTTTTAAAAGGCATCACATTGCTTTAGTCACTGTTTTACCAGTTATTTTTAACTTTTTGTTTTGACATGTTGCTTTTAACTGTAATTAAAAATTATTGGCATCTGTGTTTACTTTTTAGCTTGCACATACCTTATCTTCATAGCAGAAACTAATTAGTATGTGAAATACAGTACCATTAAATATGCATTAATGGGAAGAAATTCTAATCTGGTCAGCTGTAAAACAGCTTAGAAAATACATTTTGCTGTGTGCATGGTGTTCATTGTAACTCCATTCTCATAACAAAGAAATGCTGTTTTCGACTTTGCCGCTGTCTTTACTTGGCTCCTTGGATGTGGTCAGATTACAAATTTAGGGGGTAAAAATGTCTTCCCTCATGAAACTTACTAAGTGATTTAGAAAAATAACTGTTATGTGTGATGAGCCTGTTTTAACAAAATAGAATGTAATATCCCACTGAAATTTTTCAGAGCACTGGAATATCTTTTTTACTTCCAAATAAATTTCATACTTACCTTTCTTTAGTTTTTTCCTAATTTATTGACCCAGATCACTTAACATCTTAAACCATAACAGGTAAGTGTTATCTTCTGCGAATCTCTTTTTGAACTGCCTATAAAAAATGTTTCTTTGATTCACGCTCATGTTGGAGGCATGTAACTTTTGTATATTACTGTTACCTTTAGATCTCAAAACTGTCCCCCTTTTTTTTGTTCCTGCTGCCACTGTAGTAGTCCAGCTCATCCTGACTTCTCTCTTGGGGTACTGTAATACTTTCCTAATTTTTCCTTCTTGTTTCTGTTGTCCTTCTTAAAAGAACATGAGTAGACTTTTAAAAACATTGTCACCCCCACCCCATCACTCTCTCCACGTCCCACACCATCACAGTACCCAACTTACACTCTTCCAGTAGCACTGGTTTTCCCTACAACCCCATTAACAGTAGTGGATAACCTCCACTTTTTCCTTAAGACCCCTTATCAGAAGGAGGCATTGTTTGAGTTGCATGATTTACTTGTTTGTGTTTTCCACTGTCCTGTAAGCTCCGTGAGCAATGGGATCATATCTTTTTTATTAAGTTATTTTATACCAGCATTATGCTTAGCAATTAGTAACTGCACGTCAGTAGTTTTGTTTTTTTTAGTGAATGGATTTGGTTCAGTATATAACAAAATAGTCACTTGTAAAATGCTTAATGATGTATTTCATGTTCCCTCTGTGATGCTCATTAACTGTAGTATCCCCTTCTCTGATTTTTCCCATTAACACTGATCACCATCTATGTCAAAGTAAAACTCCATGAGAGCAGAGAATTTTGTCTTTTTGTTCAGTATCCTGTCTCTGATGTGCAGAAAAATACCCAGAAGATATTTATTGCATATGTGTTGAAGGAGTCGGTGGGTGGGTGGATGGATGAACTCCTGTACACTTGACATCTTAGAATTCTTTCCTGTGATACACAGTTCAGTTCAATAGACATTTACTAAGTATCTGCTCTATGCTAACCATTATGTTAGTCACAGTGTATATGGAAATCAATAAGAAATGAGTAAGTTCTGGTGTCATTTCTGCTTTGATTTATTTTTTTTTTTTTACAATGTTTGCTATTATTCTAATTAACTTAGGATCTATAGTATCACATGACAGTGACTTTCAAATTGAGCACTTGCAGTTAAAACTGGCTCCTATGAAACAAATAAGACAGATGATTTTATGCTCATGCTTTTCTTCACTGTTGTTAATTACACTTTCTTTTCAGACACAATTGGTCTGACCCTCTAGGAATGGTTGTGAGATTTTAGCTCCTTTGATTAATCTAGTTATCATTATCTTTTGAGTTTAAGGCAAAACATTTTTATAAAGATAACAAATATTATGCAGTGTCCTGATGTTTTGTTTTTCATGTCTTTCTTATAATCTAATTTTGATTTGCTGACAGTGTTAAAAAATGGATTCAGCAAGGGCTTTGTTTAGGATGTTGCGAGAAATGAAGAACAGAGATGCTGCGTCAGTTTCAGCAGTTATCTTCCTTTCATTTCTTCAAGATAGTGTTACTTTTGAAATGTGAAACATTATCTGCAGTTCTCCATGTGTTGAAGAAAACACTAGTTTGTTTTCGATATCAAGATGAGATTTATGCCCAAAGTTGGGGGAAAAAATTCTTAGTTTATTTTTGGTTTGAAATATATTCAACGTTTAAAATGATCACCTACAGCAGGAGGGTTGTGACCTTTTTTTTTTTTTTTTTACAAAAAGAAACACATTAAACCTGTAGTCTCTGGCACTAAGCTATGAGGACAAAAAAGCATAAGGATACAGTGGAGTTTGGGGAATTGGGGAAGGGTGGGAGCAGGGGGAGGCATAAAAGACTCTACATTGGGTACAGTGTGCTGCCCAGGTGATGGTTACACCAAAATCTCAGAAGTCACCACTAAAGAACTTATTCATGTAACCAAGCACCACCTGTTTCCCAAAAAACTATTGAAATTAAACGAAAACATACGTGTTATACCTCTACCAACACCACCACCAAAAACCAACCAAACAAACCTGTAGTCTCATTTACTTGGGAGTCTGAAGCTGGGGGATTCCTTGAGTCCTAGGAGTTTGAGGTCAGCCTGAGCAACATAGCAAGGCCCTATCTTTAAAAAATAAAAAAAACACATTAGGCTGGGTATGGTGCCTCATGCCTATAGTCCCAGCTACTCAGGAGGCTGAGGCAGGAGGAATACTTGAGGCCAGGAGTTCAAGGTTACAGTGTGTTATGATGGTACCTCTGTACTTCATCCTGGGCAACAGAGTAAGAACTTGTCTTTGGAAAATAGGTGTATTAAAAAGTTATAAGCAGAAAGGTATATATTTTAATTCCCTGTTCCTATTTCTAAAATATGAAATTTAGAACTAAATATTGCATGTGTATTCCTTTTTTAAAGCAGGAGCGTTATAAATTCTGTCATATTAATTGTGAAATACATCCTTTTATCCCCCCGAATAAAATGTATTAGAAACATGGAGATGTTAAATTACCTCATGCTGAAAAATTAGTTAAGTCGTTCCCTTCAAGAGTAAAAGCTTGATATTTAATTTTCTGTGTCCCTGATAATTTTCTGGTTGATTTTTATGTCATTATTGATATACTTTAAGTATGAGTGAATTTATATGAACTTGTAACATACAGCTGTCTGAATTAAATAAATAATTTGAGGGTTTTTTTGTTTTTTTGTATTTTGGCGGAGAGAATGCTGAGTGATAAAGGAAGCACGCCTTTTTAAAATCCTTTTCTATCTCTGGGTTTAACCTCTTCCGATTTTAGAGAAATAGTGAAACTATTATCTGTGCTCAAAACATATATTGAAGGTTTGCTTTTTTCTTTTGTAGGATGAAGTGGCACACACGCTAACTGAAAGCAGAGTATTAAAGAACACTAGACATCCCTTTTTAACAGTAAGTAATTAGAGGACAGATGTTATAATGTTTGAAATTTAAGGAATTTTGTATTAGAAACTAAATTGTGAAAAATAACATTCATTTAAATATGCCATTTTCTTTGTGGGAAGACTATAAGTCAAATTTCTTATAACTTATTAGAATATATGGATTTTTACAGTATGTGTGCACTGATAATTCTTCCCATTATGCGTTTATTACTCTTTTTAGAATTTTTTTGCTCTCATGAATCTCTTGCAATTAAAAACAAAAGCCTTAGAATTAATAGATTACCTCTGGCATTTTAAGACTATTGAGGAAATGACAGATTTTTAAAAATTTCTTAAATGTATAGATTTTAGGTTTCTTTGTTTTATTGGTTTCTGATAAATATTTTAACAATCAGAAGCATTTCTTCAAATATGTAAGGCAGAAATGTTTATTGAATATATTTTATAGAAATGAGACTTATTTGAGGGACAGAGTACTTGAAGAAATCCAGGAATGCTAAATACATTAGAGGTGGGATAAGTCATGCTATGTTTTTTTCAATAGACAAAGTATAAACTGTGATTATATGATATGCCTGTAACTTAGTTGTTTTGAAAGAAACTGGATTTTTCAGTTCTGTTCTTAGATTCTTTGTAATACAGGGATAATTGGTAAAGTTTCTGTGTTTTCATAGTTCCAATGAACTATATTGAGATTAAAAATAATAGCTAGACATTCAAAAGTGGAACCCTTTAAACTGTTGGGAATATCTGCAATAGACATTTTCAGAGCAGTCAGTAGATAACTAGATTTAACTTTGCTACCTTTTTTGTGTATTTATTGTCTAGTGTAATAAGATTAGCATTTCGGTATTTTTTAATCTATATATAACCTATAAAATTACTCAAACCAACTCCCTTGAGTTGGGTTCTGTTATGCACTCAGTATGCAAAAAGTGATGGTGACATAGTATTAGAAACCTGAGTGTAGCAACTGTAACTATATTCCTAGGAAACTTCAACTGCTGCAATCGGTCGGCCACGCTGTGAGGCTGCATGGATGAGAACCTTGAGTACTGTAATGCAGCTACAAATTGATGGCAGATTAGCTTGAGAAGTGCTTATTGCAATCAAGTTTGCTTTTACTTGGAATTTTAATTTTTCTTGTAATAATACCTATTGTGAACTAAATAAAATTTGTTCTATATTTCTCATAAACTCTTAAGCACTTTTAAGTAGAAAATAAACTCTTAAAAAATATTTTCATCAATCATGCTTAGTGTTCTGTTTTTAGTACCATTATAATTAAAAGAATATAGGATTATAATATAACGTTTTTTCTTTTTTTTTTTTATTTCAAGTCCTTGAAATATTCCTTCCAGACAAAAGACCGTTTGTGTTTTGTGATGGAATATGTTAATGGGGGCGAGGTGAGTCAAGAAGTAAATCCAGTATTTGCATGGTAGTATTTTCATTATTTTAAAAACATCACTTAAAATACTAGTTATAATATAGCACTTCTCCATTTCTCGATAGGAATTTGTGTAGCTCTTAATACTACTAAACAGATGAGAACGAAATTATTTCTGATGAGATCTAATCATTGTTTTTATGTAATTACATTTATATATTGGAAAGTATAATTTTATTCTTTTGCCTGTATTTTTAAATGTAAAAAGTTTTACCACAAGTATGATTTTTGAAATCATTTTATTAAGTTTTGAAAACCAGAAATATAAGATTTATTATGTTTTACAGAGTTTCTTTTCAAGTAGGCTGTGAACATTATTTTATCCATTCTAAACTCAGTGGAACAATAGTCCATGGGCACATTATCACATTATGGCTAAGTTTTCTTTTCTTTTTTTTTTTGAGACAGAATCTTGCTCTGTTGCCAAGGCTAGAGTGCAGTGGTGCAGTCTCGGCTCACTGCCTCCTAGGTTCAAGCACATCTCTTCTCTCAGCCTCCTGAGAGTCTGGGACTACAGGCACTTGCTAGTATGCCCAACTAATTTCTCTACTTTTAGAGACGGGGTTTCACCGTGTTGGCCAGGCTGGTCTCGAGCTCCTGACCTCAAATGATCTGCCTGCCTCAGCCTCCGAAAATGCTGAGATTACAGGCATGAGCCACTGCACCTGGCTTCTCTTCTTCTATATAGTAGTTAGAGTTCTATGACTTTTTTTTTCTTGAGATGTGGAGTCTTGCTTTGTCTCCCAGCTGGAGTACAGTGGTGCAATCTCGACTCACTGCAGCCTCTACCTCCTGAGTTCAAGCAAGTCTCCTGCCTCAGCCTCCTGAGTAGCAGGGACTGCAGGCGCGTACCACCATGCCTGGCTAATTTTTTTGTATTTTTAGTAGAGACGGGGTTTCACTATGTTGGCCAGGATGGTCTCTATCTCTTGACCTCGTGATCTGCTCGCCTCGGCCTCCCAAAGTGCTGGGATTACAGGTGTGAGCCCCTGCGTCTGGCCTGCCGTGACTATATTTAAGAGACTGACAATATCTTACAGTTTTGGAGATAAATGTAATCATTTTTATTAGCATATTCCTTTGTTCTTTCTCCTTTCTCTTCCTTGGTTTTGATCACAGTTAATATGAAGGAAAAGTAAATTTACTGGAATAGCTAACTGGAAATATTTTTCATTGTAGGCTTTCTGAAATTAATTATTAAAAAGGGCCTTGTGTCTCATGAACTTAAAATATTCGTATTTTCCAAAATAATTAAATATCCTTTATGAATTTTTTTTTTTCCTGTAGAATTATCTAATTTGCAGGAATTCGTTTCTTGCAAAACTTCATTCGGGGCTTGTGTGGTGGCTCAGACTTGTAATCCCAGCACTTTGGGAGGCTGAGGCGGGAGGATCACTTGAGCTCAGGAGTTAGACCAGCCTGGGTAACATAGTGGGACCCTGTCTCTACAAAAACATTAAAAAATTAGCTGGACGTGGTGGTGGACTCCCAGCTCCTGTACTCCCAACTACTTAGGAGCTGAGGTGGGAGGATCACTTGAGCTTGAGAGGTCAAGGCTGCAGTGAACTATGATCATGCCACTGTACTGTACTCCATTGTGGGTGACAGAGCAATACCCTGTCTCAAAAAGAAAAAGAAAGAAAGAAAGAAAGAAAACCTTAATTCATTAATTTGGTAAACACATTTTGAGTGCCTGGGCAGAATGGGTTTATCAAAATGTGTTAAGATATTATCCTTGTATATAACTTCTTTCTGTAAGTTCATTAAAAATTAGAATGTGTAGTGAAAGACCTAAATTCTAATAAAGTCATGAAAGAAAATGCTTAATGGATGATCTAGCACTTAGGGTAGGCTTAATGAGGTTTCACCTGGGGAACTGATTTAAGATGATGTTTCAGACAGAGAGGATGGGCAGAATCACTGGTGGGTGATAGGAAAAGAAAAACTTAAGTTACTAAATAATAATAATCCTGGCATACAGGACTGGGCCCTTGCTGTAAGATGTCTGAGAAAATACAGAGAAAATGGATGTTGTGAACTGTGGGACTGGTACATCTTTTTTTTGAGATGGGGTCTGACTCTGTCATCCAGGCTGGAGTGAAGTGGTGCCATCTTGGCTCACTGCAACTTCAGCTGTCTAAACTTAAGCAATCCTTCCATCACAGCCTCCTGTGTAGCTGGGACTACAGGCACGCATCACTATGCCTGGCTAATTTTGTAGAGAAGGGGTTTTGCCATGTTGCCTAGGCTGGTCTTGAACTACTGGCCTTAAGTGATCCACTCACATCAGCCTTTCACAGGGCTGGGATTACAGATGCGAGCCATTGCATTTGGCCATATTGTTACATCTTAATGACCAATTAATTAGATCTGGGTAGAAACAAACAGGTACAATGAAAAGTGATCTTCAGTTGCAATTTGGGAGCCTTAACAGGTAACAGTTAAGTTATGAAGAACATGTTAAGCATATAAATTGGGTTTTGAAAAAGTTGTTCCTAAGCTTTTAAGGTAATATGTATGTGGAACTACCAAGGAGAGTGAATAAAGAGTCAAAACTGGATACGGTTTTGGCAGCCATTCCCATAAAGATTATAATTTAAGTTAGAGGTGGAAATGAAATCAATGAAACCTCTATGTCAGTATCTAAAATGCACTTATACTGGGACTCAGCAATTTTGTTTCTAAGAATTTAATCCTACAGACATACAGATGCACCACAGAATGATACATAGATAAATATACTCATTGCAGTATTGTAGTACTTTAAATGAGCCTTCAATAAGGAGTCTGCTTAAATCAACTGTTACATTCATGCAGTGGAATCTCTGTATCCATCAAAAAGAATGAGACAGCCCAATATGGGCATATATAGAAGTTAAAAAAAAACAGTGTAGAAAGAGTATAAAACATACTTCTGTTGTGTTAAAATAAAATTAGACCATAAACATGTGTATATATGTTTGTGCATTGAAAATGCCTGAAATTATGCACTGGATATTAGTGCATGTCTTTGGGAAAATAAACTGGCTAGGAATAACATAGGAGGAAGACTTCTCATTTTTGTATTTTTCTGTGTCTTGTGTTGTAGCACATACGTGTATTATCTAATAGTTGAAAGTAGACGGATGAATGAATGACTAAGGGAAACAGTAAGACAGATAAAACAGTCTGCGGACAAAAACTTGGGAAAACACCCTTAAGTGTCTCTTTTTTAAAACGTATCATATATTCACATCTATACTAACAATTTTCATATTGCTTTATAATTACCTATTTACTTGTCTATCTTTCTTACCAAAGTGTTGACTTCCAAAGAGCCTTGTTCACTGGTGTACCCCTAGCACCTTATACACTTCTGGTACATAGTTGGTGCTTGCCAAATATTCATTGGATTATTTGAATGAATAAGTGAACAAATGGATAAACATTCCCTTGGGGAGTAGAGATAAGAGAAGTTAGCAAAAATGGTGAAATAGGAACTACTGAGGAGTAGGAAGAAAAATAGAATGTGATACAGTGTGCAGTTTATTTTATAAAATGAATTTTACATTTTAGGAGAGAATATCTTTGTATTTGTAAAATACATATGTATTAAGTCTTAGTGGAAGGCACCTTGGTAGATATCTAGGGTATAGAAATCTGAATTAAACATAGATCTTACCCTCAAAGAGTTTATAGCCTAGTGGGTAAAAGATAGGGCACAAAAATAATGCTAAATATGAAACAATTATCACTTCTATCATAACAGGCAAGTAGATTGTGGGACTTTGGGGGGGGGTGTTGAAGGAAAGCTTCCTAGAGGGGGCTACCTGGCAACTGCACTTCCTAAACCTAGAGTTCTTAGAGATGAATTAGTTGATGATTGTTGAAAAATATTTTACACAAAAAGCAGATTTCCAGATTAACCAGGTGGTTTTCTTTAGCACTGATACTCATACATTATTTTTCTTGTTCAGCATATCTTTGTTTTCTTCAGATTTTCTGGTTTGGATTGGGCTATAGATAAGTACTAAATTATTTAATATTTTGAAGCAGATGAACTGATTCTCTAAGGTTTCACTCCATTACCTAGTCTGGAGTACAGTGGTGCTGTCTCGGCTCACTGCAACTTCTGCCTCCCAGGCTCAAGTGATTCTCATGCCTCAGCCTCCTGAGTAGCTGGGATTATACATGTGTACCACCATACCTAGCTGATTTTTGTATTTTTAGTAGAAATGGCGTTTGGCCCTGTTGGCCAGACAAAGTCTTGAATTTTTGGCCTCAAGTGATCTACTCACCTCAGCCTCCCTGTATGTGGTATATAATTTCCGTGTGCATAGGTAATTACAGTGTTGCTACACACACACACACACACAGACACACACACACACATACACAGAGTTTATGCTTATTCATTGATTTTTAATTAGCAATAGCATCATCTTATTAGTCTCTACTCTAGAAAGTTTACCTTGAATTATAATTTGAATTGAGAGTTTAGCATGCTCTTGATTATGCTTGTGATTGTTATGTGTTTGTTAGTATTCATCACGTGCCACATAGCAATGTTTCAGTCAGTGATGGACAGCACAGTGGTAGTCCCATAAGACTAAACATGCACCGGTTTGTAGCCTAGGAGCAATAGGCTATATCATACAGCCCAGATGTGTAGTAGGCTCTGTCACCTAGCTTTGTGTAAGTCACTCTGATGTTCACACAACGATGAAATTGCCTGTGTTGGTCAATTCTCACACTGATACAAAGAACTGCCTCAGACTGGGTAATTTGTAAAGGAAAGAAGTTTAACTGACTCACAGTCAGGGCTAGGGAGAAATCAGGAAACTTAGAATCATGGCGGAAGGGGAAGCAAGCCTGTCCTTCACGTGGTGACAGGAAGAAGTGCTAAGCAAGAGGGGTAAGCTCCTTATAAAACGATCAGATCTTGTGAGAACTCACTCACTATCACAAGAATAGCATGGT